AAAAAATTCATGTTATAATTAATGATGTTTAAATATTACATTATCTACAAAAATCTAATTTTTTAAAATTAAGGTTGACAGGTTTGCAATGGAAATAGAACACCGCCGAGATTTGAACAATACCATAGTACATGTTGACATGGATGCTTTCTATGCTGCTGTAGAAATGAGGGACACTCCAGAACTGAAGGATAAACCCATCGCTGTAGGATCAATGAGTATGTTGGTAAGTAGGTGAAGATCAAGAACAAAAAGGGTATTTTATAACATATTTGAGCAAGCCTCCTGGTTTATGAAGGGAGAGCCTTTATTGAGGTCTGCCAGTTTATTGAGTATTTTTCTGGCTGTCTTATATATGCCGTTACTGAATCCTTACAACATACCTTCAGGTACTGATTTTTAATTCCTTTTAACAGAAAAGAAAACAAATAGAGAGAGACTATTAATAACTTGTCCAGAGTTATAAACCTGGTAAAATGGTAGAATGATGCTGTAGCTTTCCATTGCAAATTAAATTTTTAATGAGCATCCTACTTAAAGAGAGTTGAAGAAAGAAAGGGAAATGTTATTCTGAAGTACAGATTTTCAAACTATAGCCTGGAGGCCATGTCCAGCCTTCCATTTTTTTTGTAAATAAATTGTATCGGCACAAACATATAGCCATTTATTTATTTATTAGTATTGTTGCACTAAACAAGCAGAATTGAGCAACTGCAAAAACAGTATGATCTCATACTAAGGTTATTTGCTATCTGGACTTTTGTAGAAAATACTTGCCAAGCCTGGTATTAGACTGACATTTTATTAGTGTAGTACATTTAGTGCAATTAAATAATTTTTCTGATTGCTATGTTGCTCTTTTTGTTATTCTAACCATAGAAGGTAAACATGACCAGGATAGCTATATGTGGCTGAAAATCTGTTGGGAATTAAAAGTAGAAACTGAAATAGATGGGTTTTAGTACTAAAAAAATACTAGAGAAATCAAGGAGAATTCTTTCCTATTGCTGACTCCTTCTAGTGCCTTAGATGGCTATAAACCTAAGCCTTAGTGAGTTATTATTTTATTGTAAAACTATAATCCACTTGTTCTTTATCTCTGCTCCGATGAATATTCAGACAACTGACAAGTCTGGTTCTAAAACAATGTCTACTGAAAGAATGCTTACTCCCCTTTCGTATGAGTCACCAACAAATACTTGGAAAATGATATTTAATTCTATAAAGAAGATATAATACTCTGTTATATGTATATATTTATATATGTGTATATATACATACACACGTATTGTAATCATGCTAGAACTAAGCCATTGTTCTTGAAATATTCCTGCTTCAGCTTCCCAGTGCACCACAATGCCTAGTTTGTGATAAAATTTTGAAATAAATGGTACTATGCTCTTTGACATTGATATAGACTATTGTCAAGTATCAACAACAGTATGATTTAGTAATACTCATTTTAATTCTCATACGTTTTTAGTATTTTTTATCTCCTAATCAGAAAACATATTGAAATTTTAAGAAATAAAACATAAAATTGGAAGTTCTGGTTAAGCTTTAATCACTTTTTTTTGGAGACTTAGTTTAGCCAGTTATTAGACCGTTGACTTTTTGTTCAAGGTAGAAATTTTTCAATAAAATGTTAATGTTAAATAATCTTTCAAAACTCAGTGGACCATATATGTGTGGTTGTATTTCTAGGTTCTGTTTTATTCCAATGACCTATGTCTTTCCTCACACCAACACTGCCTTGATTACTTCAGCTTTAGAGGAAGTCTTAAAATTAGGTACTAAATATCTTCCAACGCTGTTTTCTTTTTCTTTTTACTTGTCTAGGTCCTTTGTACTCTTACATAACTTTTAAATTTCAGTATCCAATTCTTCATTTATAGCAAGTATACATAGACCTGAATTTTTATATATACCTTGTGTTTTCTAATCCTGCTAAATTCAAATACAAGTTCTTGAGGCTTCTGTAGATGATCATTTCATCTACATATAAAGATTTTACTTCTGCCTTGCCAATCCTGTCCTAATTGTGTCATTTTATTGCCAGACTATTTTGGTTTGGGCCTATGTTTCAAAGTTTAATGGGCAGATGAAGAGTAAGCATATCTGCCCTTGTTCCCCACCTTAGGGAAAAAGCATTGTATCTTCTCCATTCATATAAGGCATTTTTCCTGGAAGTATGCAGTACATGTCTTTTATCTGTTGAGAAGGTTCTGTTCTACTTCTAGTCTCCTGATAGCTTTTACCATGAACAGCTGTAGAGTTTAGTCCATTGCTTTTTCTCCAACTACTGACAGGATCATATGGCTTTTTCTTTCTGCTTTAAATGTTTGATATAATTTATCAGTTAAAATATATATGAGCCTGCTGTTGTCATATAGGTAGGTTTTCAAGCTAGGAATATACTTTCTTTAATAGGTCCTATTCAAATTTTATATTTCCTCCAGAGTCAGTTTCATTAATTTGTCTTCCAAGGTACTTCTTAGAAGTTGTCCAATTTATTTCAAAAAGGATTTTTGTAATATGCTTTCTATATCCTTTTAAATTCTGTAAAATCTTTGGTAATATCTTCTAGATCTTGATATTATAATTTTAAAAATGTATAATTAATATTGTGTAATAGGAAGAAAAGGTCTAAAGGAGTAGGGGAAATGGGAGGGGTAGAGGAAAGGAAAAAAGGGAAAAGAAAAAATATGAGAAAAGGAAAAAAATGGAAACAAAGTCTTTGCAAATAGGGAAGGGTAGGCAGGGGAAGGGGAAAAAAATAAGAACCAAGATACTCATGTAAAGGTACAAGATCCCAATGATGAATGTAACTGTACTTTATACCTAAAATGCACCAATAAACTTAATGGAAAAAAATTCCAAATAGAGGAAATTCTAAAAGTATACTTTAGATTAAGCATCCCTTGTTCCTAAGGATCTTAACCTATATTGTACTATACTATAATTTTCTAAACTGTTACTTTATATAACAGCTATACTATTGGCACGACCATATTACTTCATAACTATTCTATACTACTCACTCTACACTATACTTTTACTTTCATATAACATCATTTGCTGTTGTCTAGATCTTGATATATACTGTAAGTATGCCTTAAAGCCAATCAAGTTTAGATACTGGAAATATGAAAGAATATTTTTATCAGCGCAGTCTTACTTCTGAGCTGGTATCACCTTATAAATAGAGGGAGGAACGGCAGTGAGTGAAGGTCACAGTGTCATAGTACCGTAAAGTCAAAGTGTGGTTGAAGACAGTGGTCCATAAAAGAAATGTCCTTGAATTGCAAATGCACATGAGTAATGTGTTTCTTATGAATGCATTGATCAATATGTCCATTTAGGTTTGTTTATTTTTCCCCTGTGGTCAATTCTTTTTCAGTCTACTTCAAATTACCATGCAAGGAGGTTTGGTGTTCGTGCAGCCATGCCAGGATTTATTGCTAAGAGACTCTGCCCACATCTCATTATAGTGGCCCCAAACTTTGACAAATACAGAGCCGTGAGTGAAGAGGTAAGTTTATATCCCCCCTACTTCTATCTAATCACTGGTTCCTTATCACATCCAGAGTCAATTCCAAAGGCCTTAGCATGTCAGGATTTGGTCTTAGCTTATCCTTCTGGCCTCACCTTCAACTATTTCTTCAGCTTGTATATTCAGTACCGGGCTGTTTACAACACCTGGAATACATCATTCTGTTTTCCAATAAACAGAAATACTTTCCAAGTATTTTTCATCTGCTTAGAAAACTTTGAATAGCTTTAATTGTAACGGTCACTATTCTTTCTTGTGTAAAATACACTTTATTCTAGAACTACCTAATATTTGTAATTTAAAGAATCCTCTCATCATTGGTTTCAGTGTCTTCTGAGTAAACTTCCTATCAATGTTTTTACACAATGACAAAAATCACTTATTTTGGTTACCTGTTTCTCTTTCCCTACAGTCTTGTGAAGATGATAATCAGTGAATGTCTAAGAGACTGGTAATCAAAGAGGAAAGGGAATAATCCATTGTTTTGGAAAAGAGCTCTGAAATGTAAAGATATGATTATTTACTAAAATCCCAAACTTTCTCATGTGAAAACTGCCATTTCCTCTATTTTTAATGACAATAGGCCTGTTGTGCAATGCTGGGATTTAGTTCTTGAATTAAAATTTGAGGGTAGCGTGTCTACACTGCTTTTTGACTGCCATAGTAAAATGCAGTGTATTAAAGATTGCTGTGTGTAGTGCATGCCTATAATTTCAGCTAATTGAGAGGCTGAAGCAGGAAGATTGCAAGTTTAAATCTGTCCTGGGCAACTTTAAATTAAGAAGACCCAGCCTCAAAAAGGACTGGGGATGTTGCCTGATGGTATAGCACCCCTGGTTTCAAAAAGCAAATCAAAGCTACCATCTGAATAGAAACACTTGCAAAATTATGATATGCTGCTTAGTGCCATTCAGACATTCACATGATCTTCAGATTCACTGCTTTTAATTTTTATTCTACCTCATTTCCCCTAGAAATGATACCATACCCCAAATTTTAAAACTGTCATCTTTATTTTTTCGAAAATAATCTATTGCAGCAAGTGCGTTGTGCCCACTTCTAAAAGGGAGGTAGAGGAGGGAGAAACATACATTTGCTAACTATTGATTGTTTTTACTATATCCCTGATTAAAGAGAGATAAAATGCTAAACATGAAAAACAGACCTTTAATAAATAAAAAATCCTAAAAAGACCCAAGCATGGTAACAGATGCCTATAATCTCAGTATTCTGGGAAGCTAAGACAGGAGGATCAAAAGTTCAAGCCCATGACATAAAAAGTTTTGATCCTGAAGTCATGCTTAGACTTTGAGTTTGTATAAGCAACTTAGCAGTACTTGAAAATGTTGTGATCTATTTGTTGTGGTTTTGTGAGAGGTTTTGTTTGTTTTTTGAGATAGAGTTCTACTATAACTTGATTTAGTCTCCTGAGTGCTGGCATTACAGGTGTGCACCATGCCCATCTGTTTATTGCATTTTTAAAGTGGAACTGATATGAGTCGATTTTTGTTTCCTTAATTGTGTTATTTGGCAGCATGAAGCATTTGTGCTTAAGCAGGAAAGATCTCATAAAGTAAGTTTGGCCTCTACCTCCTAGCTCCTGTTCCCCCTCCCCCAATATATATATTTTTTTCTGAGCATTAGGTTGCTATTGATTCACTTGAATATTACTTTTTTCTTTTAGGCATACTATAAACTTAAGAGAACTGTGTTTTATGGGGGATTTGGGGTAATACTAGGGCTTCGTTTTATTTTTTTATGCTGAGATAGGGTCTTGCCAAAACCCCATGTTGTCCAGGTTGGGCTCAAATTGCAATCTTCATGCCTCATCCTGTCAGGGTGCTGGGATTATGCCCATCCTGAAGTTTGTTCTAAAATTATTCTGGCTATTTTACTCTGAAAGGGATTACTTTTGTATATCACAATTCAGATAAGAAAATTAAAGTTACTTTTCTCAAGAGAAAAAAAAACACAAAGTTCAAGCCCAGCCTGGCCAATTTAATAACTTAGTTGAGACCCTGTCTCAAAATAAAAAATAAGAACTAAATTGTTTTTAGTTATCTTCAGTGTTTTTATTTACATAATTTGGGAAAAAATCTTCAAATTTTCAACAATCTCTAGGTACTTAATTTGCGGGTAACAAATGAATAATTATGTGTATATTAACATAAACACATTAATATTTCTAGCTTGATTAGAAAACTTGAAGATCCATTTTTGTTTTATCCTAAATATTGAAATAGTTTTAGCTGTCCTGGAGCTTTCAAGGCTTGATTTTGACTAGAGTATGTCTGAGTTGCTACAGCAGTGTCCTGTGGATAGGAGTTTATAAGGACTACTCAACAGCATCTCTAGGGAATGCTTCTCATTCAGAATTTTAGTGGGCTGCCAGCTACAGACTCTCAAGAGTTTTCTTTTTCACTAGAAAGATTCTGAGTACATATAAAAGTGGTTTCTCCTACAAGAACAGAGCTATTTAAGGCACCCTCTGAGTAAAATTATGCCAAGTTTTATATCACCATTTTCTAAAATTCCCCTTGACTCAGCTGTTCATAATTATATTGAGCTAAAATGCTTTCCTTTTATAAAACAAAGTTTTCTCGTGATACACTAGTCAGGTTTTAAGTGATAGAGAAGTATAATATAATTCAGCCAGTATGTCTTATAATATATATATATTATTTTGGCAAACATTCCCTCTAATTACTGCTAAGACTTTAGTGGTAAAAAACAACTACCACCATACAAACCTTCATAGTTTAATGTAATAAAACTATCTCTATAAAAGAGATTTCTGGATTATAGTAACAATAATTTTAATCTTTGTATATTTTATGCCACTGTGCTCTCTGGACTTTCCTCCATCATTTAATGTAACCATAGAATTACACTATAGATTTTGTCATCATTTCTATTCCACATTCCAAGAAATAGTAGAGCTTCATTTTCCTTATGGATACATGCATTAATATATATATTTAGTGGAGCTTTATGTGCCTCTTATAGTTAACTGAAACAACTGCTTTTTAAAGCAACATGGTACTTTTACGTAAGATTATTCTTTTTCCTCTTAAAAATGAACAAAAACCGCCATAAAAGATGAGACAATAGAATCTCATCATTCCCACTTCTACTTTTGACTAGCTATCTAAAACCTTAGCTATCTTTTTTCTGAGCCTACCAGAATGTTGTTTTCTGAGATTTATATGAATTGCTTTCTATATCTAGGTGTAGGTGGCTAAATAGACTCCATCAAATGATGCCATTTCACAGTCTTCTGCCTTCATGATCTATTTTTAATACAAAAGACAGATTGACAAATATGCACTGGTGGTAAATTATTCATTCCTTAAATCCATGAGCTATTGATTGCAGGATCATTACTGTAGTTGCAAAATAAGAATATTAATGTTTCTTATCAGCTGTGTGTGACAGGAGTTTTTTGCTGTGGTAGCAAAATGTAACCCTTTTTTGTTCCTTTTGAAGGTTAAGGAAATACTTGCTGATTATGATCCCAATTTTATGGCCATGAGTCTTGATGAAGCCTACTTGAATATAACAAAGCACTTACAGGAAAGACAAAATTGGCCTGAGGAAAAAAGAAGTTATTTCATCAAAACTGGAAACTTGGCAGAAAATGGTAAGCAATTTATTGGAACGATCAAAATAAAAACAATGAAACAAAAAAACCAACCCCTCAGTTAACTCACTAGCATATGTAGGTGGTAGGATAAGTGAAAAATCAGAAACTTAAAATACATCCAGTGAGTATTTCAGTTAAATGTATAGAATATCTTATTTATTTATTTGGTACCGGGGATTGAACTCAGGACCTTGTGCTTGTGAGGCAGGCACAGCGCCACTGAACTAAATCCCTAGAATATCACTTTGTAAATAAATGCTATTGTTAAATCTTCAGACTTCAGTCTATGGAGTCACTAAACAAAGTAATATTGTATCAATTACTTTCTTAAACTGTAGCCTCAAAGGGTTTAGATTGCACTGCGGCTGAGGAAGTTCTTTATTTAAATTGGCCTTTTTTGTGTGATGTTGATAAAAGTTAGGTTTAAGAGATTAACCTCAAACATACCAAAACATTGAGTGATTTTATTTTTCTTCATTTCCCAAGTTTTCTGTAATCTGACTCTAGTACAGCATTTATGACAGTTTTCAGTGCTTCCAGAATTAATGCCATCCCTTTTCCTTCTTTGCCTTGGGCCTCATTATGACTCTTATATACAGTAAAACAGAAGTTTCATAACTCCATAAGTTTTTCAAACCGTTCTTCTATTATCTAACCAAAGCAATGCAAGAAACATGCAGACATTTCACGTAATGCTGGCAACCTTTTGCCAAAGGTGTGATTACTTAAAATGCCTGAATTGTCCTGAATCCTTGAGCACAGTTCACCTGGATGAAAAGGTGACCCAGAGGGGTTTGCTCACCACCCACAGCCACATTTCGTGTGTGTAACATGGCTACTTCAGAGGGTCTGCTCAGCGATGGGGTTTGTAACTTTCCTGGAAGCAAAATGGTGGACACAGTGGCATGAAATTCTGAGTCTCCCACATTGTTTGGCGCTCACATCATTTGGAGCAAGTTTAATCTAGACATTGAATTACAGCTTCAATACTTTATTTAAAGCTCAGAGGGGTAGGTTTCTCCCTTTTTCTTTCATAGCAACATTAAACAATATTTATTTCTAGACATAGATGCTTGGAGCCAAATATTTTCCATCTTTGCCATAGCCTTGTTTTTTGGGGGTGTGGCACCAAAGCCTGATGTTACTTTGCTTCAAATCTCACTTTGTTACTTCCTTAGTTTTCATTAGGGAAGAGAGGCAGAAATCATTAAATGATTCCAACAAAACATTCCCTATAGGTGATGGCAAGTTCCCTCCTCCTCCTCCTCCTCCTCCTCCTCCAACTCCTTGTGGGACTTGAGGATTGAATTCTGGGCCTTCACACTGAGCCACATTCCCAGACCTTTTTTTTTTTTTTTTAATTTTAGGCAAGGTTTTCCTAAGTTCCCCTGACAGAATCCAACTTCCGATCCTCCTGCCTCAGCCTCCCAGTGTACTGGGATTACAGGCTTGTACCACCATGCCCAGTTTCCTGTGGGCTTTTATAACAATTACTTTTACTTTTTAAAAAAAAAAAATTACATTAGGGCCCGGGATTTAGCTCAGTGTTTCCGCCGCCTGCCTCATAAGCGCAAGGTCTGGAGTTCGATCCCCGGTACCAAAAAATAAAAATAAAAACAAAAACAAAATCAAAACAAAACAAAATTACATTGGGCTTTAGGTAAGTGTTTTCATTCTCTACTGAAGTCCTCATTGATTACATGTCTAAACTCACTATGAGGATGTGACTTCTTAGTTTCTATTATCTTTAACATATTTATTTGTATATTGCCCTTTTCATGGCTTTCATATACTTAAGTGATTGAAGTAATTTGACTTTTCTTCCCTCATCTATAAATCCCTGTGTAGTGCATTTTCAGGCCCATCCAACCTCACATCAACAGTGTGTTGGAGGTGTGACAAGTGATTGATATATCTTTCTTTAAAGTCAGACATTTTTGTACTGCTTGTCCCCTTTCTAAAAGATGCTTCTCTTTAAAAATATATTGCCAACTACCTTACCTACTTAAAAATAAAGTAGTAATTGTCATTTAATGTGTACTCTGCAATATTTGGATGGTGAGTACCAGGCTGTGTAAGATGCTGAAATAGCACACATTCTTTCAGCACTTGTAATGTGAACGAAATGCTTTAATCCTGGTATTGTACTCTGATTATTTCACTCATGGGGATTATAAGGCTTTTTCAGTCCAGAAGCAAATGAGGGGGCTGATAGAGTGCTTGCCTGGCACGCGCCAGGCCCTGAGTGACTTGCACTCAGCCAGTGGGACAGAGGGCTCCAGGTGAGTAGCCTTTCAGCTGTTCTGCACTCCTACTGCCTTCCAAGTTGCTCTGAATTTTAAAAATGGAATATATAGAATGAAAAGGAACTGAAGCACATAAGTAACAGCGCTGTAAGTTTGAAAACAACTCTCTTTATGAATGTGGTCTGAGAATGCAGATTTGGAAAACATCTGTAACTTAATTCATATTACACACTTTAAAATGTGAAACTAATCCAGTGTTTGTTATATTTTTTACCTTATCTTTAGATAAGTTTCCTGAAAGACTAGTTCATTTTTCAAGTAGTATACCTCCATATGTGCTTGAAGCTTTTTTTTTTTCTTTTTTCATGCAGGGGATCGAACTCGGGACCTGGCGCTTGCGAGGCCGGCGCCGGAACCACTGAGCTAAATCCCCGGGCCCATATGTGCTTGAAGCTTAATTGAAGAAACTTTTTAATTTGGAAAACTTTAATAGATTTTTTTCATGAGAATGTTTTAAGAATCAATATAGATTTCATTTTTTTTTCTTTTCTCAAGCAAAACATTTATTGGTACATTTTAGATATATATTATGATAACACTCATAGAGAATGTAGATTTCAGTTATTTTGTAGCTCATTTTTAAAAAATGCAAATAAAATGAGGTAATGACAGATAGATATTTTTAGTTTTAATAATAATAGTTTATAGGCTACTGATAATAATAAAGTTTCTTTGCCTTAAACTTGTATCTTGGCTGATCCAGTCAGACCCTAAGACATTGTATTAAAAAAAAGCGTAACTTTCAGACGTAACTTGTTTATCGCAAATACAATAAAAGTGATGTTTTATAAATAAGTCAAAATTAAAATCTGTATTTGAAAAAGAAAACTCAGATTAACATTTGAAAAATTTCTTCCATGAATGAAAAAAAATTTTCCCTTTAAAAACAAAACTTATTTTTTAGGTATAATTATTTTATATTGTTTAAGATCTTTTCAACCTCACATTCCTAAATCCTAATTTATTTTAATAAGGGTCTTTTTTATTCATTGAGATGAATAAAGGATCAAAAATTTAATTTTTTAAAGAAAGTAATGGTTTTCAAAAGTTAATGTGTTTTACTTAGGATAGTTCTTTTTTTTAAATGTCCACTATGAAAACGGACAATATTTTTTTAAGAACAACCTGGACAAGGTTTCCTTTATTAAATAGTTACATAATATAAATTCTAGCACTTCCTATCTTGGTTCCTAAAAACAAAACTAAATTAAATTTGCTTTGTCTTCAGAAATAATGTAGGGGGAAAATAGAAAAATGGGAATCTAAAGAAAGAAAACCCAGGGCCAGGGATTTAGCTCAGTGGTTTCACTGCCTGCTGCGCAAGCGCAAGGACCCGAGTTCAATCCCCGATACCAAAAAAAAAAAGAGAGAAAAAGAAAGAAAGAAAACCTAGGGAAACCTGACTTAAGGAGTATGTAATTCTTGTTGTGTTTTTTTGTGGGGTTTTTTTTTTTTGGTACCAGGGATAGAACTCGGGACCTTGCACTTGAGAGGCAGGCAGCGGAACCACTGAGCTAAATCCCTGGCCCTAGGACTATGTAATTTTTTTGGCGGGGGGGTACTGGGGATCAAACTCGGGACCTTGCACTTGCTAGGCAGGCGCCAGAACCGCTGAGCTAAATCCCCTGCCCAGGAGTATGTAATTCTTAAAATAAAGATAAGTTACTGTTCTTATTTGCAATTTAGATGAACCAGGAAAGGAAGTTAATAAGCTGAGTGAGTCTGACCGGTCCATCTCTCCACTACTTTTTGAAGACAGTCCTCCTGATTTGCAGTCCCCAGGACATCCTTGCCAAGTGAACTCTGAAGAACAAAACAATCCTCAAATACCACAGAATTCAGTTGTTTTTGGAACTTCAGCTGAGGAAGTGGTAAAGGAAATTCGGTTCAGAATTGAACAAAAAACAACACTAACAGCCAGTGCAGGTATTTAAAAGGCTATTGATCGTCACTGTGGTTAAAATTTCCAGACTGGCTAGTTCAAGTGCAATATTAGTAGCTTCTCATTTTAAAGGATGTGCTATCATTTTACTTACCTACTGTTTGATTCAGCTTCTAACAACTTTACCTATTCAGAATAACTGACTATACAAGTATTTTTAAATTAAGAAAAGCCTATGGGCCCAGAGGGGAAAAAAACTATCATATATCTCGTAGTTATCATTTTGTAAGCTCAAGTATATTTGAATTGATTTTGACAGAATGATTGATAAGTTTTTCTTTGGACAACTTCAGTCTTGTCCTAGATTAAATTGCAGGAGAGAACCCAGAAAGCATCAAGTTAAGGAACCCCTTCCCCAAAATAAGCCAGGTGTGGTGGCACACACTTGTAATCCCACCATTCTGGGAGGGTAAGCCAGGAGGATCACAGGTTTGAGTCCAGCCTGGGCGATTTAGTGACTTAGCAAGACCTGTCTCATAATAAAAAATAGAAAAGGGTCTGGGGATGTAGCTCAGTGCAGACCCTGGGTTCAGTCTCCACTACCACATACAAAAAAAGCAAAAACAAACCAGAAAATGCAAACAAACCCATCAGCTAGCACTATAGCAATTTAGAACCATCTAATAAAAGGCAAAATAGCTTTTCATATGTCATTAACCCATAAGGGCATCATTACGTCTTAGCATAATAACTGATCTTCATCATGAGGATCCTGAATTATGCTGTAAAAGCCATATTATGGTTGGGTTAATCTTTTCTCTACCAAAGCATGAGAGTTGTGTAATAAATTTTAGGAAGATAGATATAAAAATTAACCTGATATGTTTAATGAATATATTTGTGTGTACTTATTTCAAATTACCTTAGTCATTAAGACTCCTAGAAATTATAAAACAGCTTTCTGAAAAGCAATAATTTGCTCTGTGAATAACACAAAGGATGAAAAATTTTATTATCATTGTCTCAAATATATTGCAACCCAGAATCTTTGATATTTTTTTATGAGGTTAATTTATACAAAAAACCCTTTTCAAAGAGTAAACATGTGTCCTAAACTGTATTCTGGATCTTTTCTAAAAAGTAGATACAAAGCCATTGCAAAAGAACCCTGTATGTATTCTAAAGTTAATACGTAAACTAGTAACACTTAATATTACTCAGCCCAGAAATTACTCTTAGATTTTAAAATATTGTGGAGAATTAAATATTCCTCATTTCTCCTACCATAACTGACACAATTCCTTTTCCTAAAACCATTGCAAGACCTGGGGAGATAGATGGCAATCATATGTTATCTAGTAGCATTATGCATCATTTTGTATTATTTGTGTTTAAACATTTTTTTATCATCACATAATTAAAAGTCATACATACAAATTTTTGAAGTCATTACAGTGTTCTTATTTTAAGGCATTGCTCCCAACACAATGTTAGCAAAAGTATGCAGTGATAAGAATAAACCAAATGGACAATACCAAATTCTCCCCAGCAGACAAGCTGTGATGGACTTCATCAAAGACTTACCCATTCGAAAGGTGAGATTTTATATAAAATGTAGCATTTGTATATGTACTTTGAATTCTAAAGAGAAGCTAAGCTGATGATAATTGTTCTTTGCTGAAAATATTTAAAACACTAGGCAACAGGCAAGAACTATAATGGGTGGTTGAATAGAAACTTGAAAAAAATCTTTCTGTGAAATCCTTAAAGTAAGGTTTGTGAAGCTTATTTGTGGGAAAATTTTAAGAAAGTAATAGATGTGGGCTGGGGATTTAGCTCAGTGGTTCTGCAGCCTGCTTTGCAAGCACAAGGTCCCGAGTTCGATCCCCAGTACCAAAGAAAAACACAGTAAAAAGAAAATAATAGATGATGGACTTTTAAGTGGACTCTTGCCAAGGAGAAAGGAAATAAAAGTATACTTGCAAGAGTACTTTCAACTCTAACTTAATATACTTTCTTGGTCCTCAAGTCCGAATTTCTACCGGATAAATAGATATGATACTTAAAAGGCATTTAGAATTTTTATTGTTTTTGACAAAATGTAGGCCACAGTACTTTACCAGCTTTAAAATGATTAAAATTATCCCTCAGATTCCCAAAAGATATATTTTATTAATTCTTTAGAGCTAGATTTTTCTGTACATATCACTTATTTTTTTACAGTAACTGTACTATACACTATATGATGGTCTAGGGCTTGCTTTCATTCATTTATTCACATGGATGGATTTAAATGAAAGATTTTTGAATGCTCAGTAAAAGGGCTTTATCAAAGTATACAATGTATATAATTACTGGATAATACATGTAAGATGTAGGTGTACAATAGTGTTTTCTAACCTGTTTTTCAAGGTACAAATGGATATCCAATTAAAAAAAACTCTGAGATCAAATAACTTTGGAGTCTACCACCCTTGGGTGGCTTACTTTGTATATGTTGGTATACTAAAGGCTCATAAATCTTACAGTAAAAAGTTCCATTTACATTGTTTACCCTACCATTTCTTAAGTTTATATGCCCACAGAACTCCTTTTTTAATGTCTTCAAAAATTTCATGGAATGATACTTTGGAAATGTGACCAAAAATAATAAACACAATTTTCTTACATGACTTATGAAGATTCATACCTTTCATTGATTGTAAGAGCTATAAGATTATCATTTCAGTTCTGACCTTAATTTTTTAAAAACCTACTAATAATAAATATTGATTTTCTTCTAGGTTTCTGGAATAGGAAAAGTTACAGAGAAAATGTTGAAGGCCCTTGGAATTATTACTTGTACAGAACTCTACCAACAGAGGGCATTGCTTTCTCTCCTTTTCTCTGAAACATCTTGGCATTATTTTCTTCATATTTCTCTGGGCCTAGGTTCAACCCACCTGGCAAGGTATTTGCATATATAGTCATTCTGCTTTTCTTTTATCACTCGCTGCAATATCAGTTTTAGCCATTGAGATCAAGGCTATAAAAATAGAATGTTGTAAAATTCTTTTAGACTAGTTTAATTCCAGATGTAATGTTTAGACTAAGATCAGCAGATTGGATATGAATAGGAAGGGAAAAAAGAGTAAGAGTCAATCCTAGGTTGTTGACTTCAGCAGTTGGGTAGATGGACAAGGGGAACAGTACTTATTTCCTTTTCTATCCCTGCCTTGTTCTTTGTTCAAAACATCAGAGAAACATAGGTGGTCAGGTTATTGGGGGAAGAAATATGGCTTATATTCCATAATTCACTCTTTAAACAAGGAGACATAAGGATTATTTGAAAGCCTTAATGAACTAGCTATATTTCATTTCTTTTCCAAATGTATAGATGATTCATTCACTTAACACTGAGTACTTTGTGTTAGACACTCCTCTAGGTACTAGGGATAGTAACTGTGAGGAGGACAAAGGGATAGGAAATAACCAAATGAATAATAAGAAAATAAAGCAGAATGAGGGCATAGAAACTGTGGGGGTTGGCAGAGGTCATAGAGGTAGAGCCCTAAGGGAGCCGAGAAGAGGCCTTGAGGGAACAGGTAAAGAAAAGGCCCTGGGTTTTCTTTCAGTCACTTTTCCATCTAGTTTTTAAAAAGAGGTAACCTGTAGCTAGAAGGGTAAACATTGGAGATAAATGAAAAGGAGGGAATTAAAAAGAATCGGAATCAAGGCTGGGGATTTAGCTCGGTAGTTCTGCCACCTGCCTCACAAGCGCAAGGTCCCAAGTTCGATCCCTGGTACCAAAAAAAAAAGAATAGGAATCATGAACGTTAACTGAGTACTATTTTTACAATTTTGTCATCATCCTGTCAGCTTTCCCTCAAAATGATTCTTTTACATTTTTGCACTAAAGGACAATAATAAAATCACTGAGAATGCCTATAAAATTGGTTAAACAAGTAAGCCTGCTAAATCTGACAGATTGCAAGGCTTGTATTACCAGTCTCATCTCTTTCTGCTCTTCGTTATTTTGCGAGCACAGTTGTTTTTTTTTTTTTTAATTTCCCATTAAGTTTATTGGTACATTTTCAGTATAAAATACAGTTATATTCATCATTGGGATCTTGTACCATTACATGAGTATCTTGATTCTCATTTTTTTCGCCTTCCCCTGCCCTCCCTTCACCCCCTCCACCCTTCCCTATTTGCAAAGACTCTGTTTCCATTTTTTTCTTTTCTCATATTTTTTCTTTTCCCTTTTTTCCTTTCCCCTACTGCTCCCACTTCCCCTGCACCTTTAGACCTTTTCTTCCTGTTACACAATATCAGTTATACAGTTTTTAAATTACAATATCAAAATCTAGGAGACATTACCAAAGATTTTACAGAATTTAAAAGGATATAGAAAGCATATTTCAAAAATCTGTTTTGAAATAAATT